TTGTGGAAGTGGATGGATTCTATACTTCCTTGTCTATCACCAACAGAACTGTTAACCAAGTGCTGACTGCAGAATAAATACATACACTTATTTTAGTCTTTCTACAGTATTCCATTGTATTTCCCTTTACTTACTGCCAGAAATACCTTCAAGACTGAAACTGCTGAGACTAGATAACTGCTAATCTGGTTTAATTATCTTTGTGGAAGTGGATGGATTCTATACTTCCTTGTCTATCACCAACAGAACTGTTAACCAAGTGCTGACTGCAGAATAAATACATACACTTATTTTAGTCTTTCTACAGTATTCCATTGTATTTCCCTTTACTTACTGCCAGAAATACCTTCAAGACTGAAACTGCTGAGACTAGATAACTGCTAATCTGGTTTAATTATCTCAGACAACTGACAGGTTTGTGGGTACTGGTGTCTTAGATCATATTGTTTCCTGAAAGTTTTTCTCCCTTTTTCTTTATTATCAGTGACACTGGCATGGGAGCAGGATCTGTGTCAAGAGTTTGTCTGCCTCTGAGCTCTCACCTACAGAAATGCCAGTAAAAGAGAGAAGAATTAAAGAAATAACACCAGGTCAAAATCCTCCTTTTTGACATTTCAGCCACAACTTATGAAGCTGAGTCCTTATACTCCTTACATTTCTTGTTTGGATCTGCAAGATTCCTGTCCCACCACCTAAAAATCTCAGAATCCTAACTGAGACTGCTAGACCTCAGCTCAAGTTATTATTGTTTTCAGATTTCTGACCATTCAATCCCCTCTTACAGGCTGCACAGTGTCCAAGAGCTTGGTGAGCTGGTAGAAGCGCCGAGAGCAGGATGTGGGATTCTTTCTCTTGCAAGAGATGATACGATCAAGTTCCTTTATGTAATTCATTCGAAGTTCATCAAAGAACTTCTGATTCTTCAGGCCATCCACCGGAACTGGCATTGGAACAGGGAGAAGAAACAATCATAATGTGGAGAGAAAAGAAAACAAAAGGAACAGGAAGACTGAACCTCCCCTTGCCTCCCTCACACATCCCCAGACATTCCTCTCATCTTCACTTCCCCTGTGAATGATTGAGACTCGATGTCTAGGGTTGAGAAGTGAGGAAGGGGGATTGCACCTCAACAAATGCAGCCTTTGTTTGGGGCTGTGATTATTACAACACAAAGGTAGTTCCACCACGGCATCTCATTTTTATTCCTAAAGTCAACTCTCTGCCTCTCAGCACAATGGGGGGAGGAAACTACATACAGGGTCACACAAGACATATCAGCAATTAGTCTGCTCAGAGAAGGATGGCTGCCACTCACTAATACTGAAGAGGAGTAGAGCCTTCATGCAGAGAAACTCCTGGGGAGTGATCTGAAGCCACCCGAACTCTTGGGAAAGATGTCGCATCCTCACACACTGGCTGTACATTCTGGATTTGTGCATTCGGTACCTGGCAAGATGCATTGGTGAGAAGATTAAAGCATTGCTGGTCTGAAATGCAGGCTGACTGAAAAATTACCCAAAGACTCAACACCTTTGCATTTACCCGAAGCATATTCTATCAAGTTTCTATCTTTTGTGGGATCTCAACAGCAGCATGACTTAATTTAGGAAAGTTTTCCAAAACACCCTGTTGCATCTGCTTGATGGGGAATGGAGGATCATGTGGGATAATAAGGATCACCTGAGCTTCTCACTTGCAGAAAAATTAGGGCAACAATGTACCGTATTGAACAAACCACAAGGGGCATGTGTCCTTGTGTGAGTGCATGGAGGAAGAATCAGGATTTGTGTGGAGCACAGTGCTCAGTCTTTATGTCTGTGGTCTCAGTGATGACAGTAGGGGAACGTCAAAATCCTCATAATTATTTTTTTTACGTAATTTAGCGGAGGAGCAATCAGACAGTAACATGGCAGGAATTTCCGATAGTCCGTTGCCATCATTCCATGCTGGTAAAGTAACAAAGCAATAGTTCTGCTGTTGCTTCCTTGACAGGAAGCAGATTTTCTTGTCAAGTCTCTAATTCCCTCCTAATCCTCCCCCCCCATACTACCCCATACTCTTTTGACCATTGTCTACATTTTCCATGGATTTCTTCACTGTATAAACACAGAGGTGAATCAGCTGCAAATGATCTATGACACAGAGAGGCCTGAGCTTCTAATACAGCAGTTTGAACCTGAAAATCAGGGGCTTCTGGAACATACATCAATGCACGAGCAGCTGAAGAGATTAGCAGCAGCTGAAGAAGCGAGTGAGGAGGGATCCAGAACACCAGCTGAAGTTAAGAGACTGATACCAACCCTACAACACCCCCAAGACTCAGTAGTCAGGTGCTGGAGACAGCACCAGTGTATTGTGGAGATGGGGGAGCAGTCAGGCATATCATTCAAGCATGCCTAATGGTTACTGTTATTAGTCATGAGAGCAAGGGCTGCAAAAATGAGAAAGGAAGGTAAGAGGGAGAAAAAAAGGGAGACAAAATAATAAAGTATCAGAAGGAAGAAGGGAAGGAATTGTCTGGAGATTAAGACTGAGCCCTGCCTAATTCGGCATCAATACTGAGATATTTCCAGCCTCCTCAGGTTGCAATAAAACAAGGGCAATGAGCCAGGTCACCAACCCTCCTCTTTTTGGGGACTTGATAAAGAGGGACCAGATGCTGGGACTGGGGTCCCTGACATCACAGGACATTGGAGCCTCACTTGGCTGGAGTGCTGGATTTGGTGTTCAGGGGTTTCCAAACAACATGAAAGGGAATAGGGTAGTTCTGTGTGGAAAAGGTCACAGATGCCTCATGTTATAAAAATACTTGCAGTTGTCCCATTTCACGCCCCAGAACATGTATACAGCTGATTTATGACTTGGCATACTAATCCCTAGTATGTTACCAGGACAAGTCATTACTCATCTAGGCCATTTGCCACAATAATCTGTTCACTGTCAGCTATGCAAAGCTCCCCTTTATTGAAGTATCTTGCACTTTGTAGGGTGCTTTGTGCAAGTACTTCTGTTGCTATTGACTCTGCAGGGATTATCATACTGTCAGTAAAGCCAGTTAACAAGTTCATTATATCTTCCTTTATAAAACTGTGCTGTGGGTCTGAGAAGGCAACAGGCCTGAAGGAGAAACCCATCGAACTCTTGATTTAATAGAGACCCCTTTTCAAGGAAGGCAAATCAGCTGAAGGCAAGTGTTTTGACTATGTACTGAATGAGGCGCTTGGACACACTGGCAGAGAGGGTAGTGTAAGAACTCAGACAAAGAAGACGACATTCAGACAGGCAAAGGAGAGAGTAGGTGGTTTCAGAATGAACCTTGTGGTACAGCGCTCTCTCAACCACCCTTTGAAAAGCCTCGTAAGAATAGTACGGTCTGGCTGATGGGCAAAACAGAAAGGTGTCATAAAAAAGCTGCTATTTTTAGTCTGGTTCATTAATTTATAGCAGTAGTGAGAATGTCTGCGAAAGAGCAACTGGAGTCTGAACACTGCCAGAGCACCTCCTGCCTCTCTCTGCATTTTAAGTCATGCTACATCTCTGATCATGCCATAGCAATGTCTCCTGACCCACCCAGCAGCAAAAGTCGAGCCACACTGGCTCTCTGAAGCACAGCAGGATCTCAGGGATCGATCTCTTAGGCTACGTCTAGACTGCAAGCCTCTTTCGAAAAAGGGCGTTTAGACTACAACCAGTACTTTCGAAAAAGCTAGCTAGGCAGTCTGGATACTCTCTTTCAAAAAAGCACACTTTGCATTACATAGCGCCTTTTTTCGAAAGAGCACTTTTGAAAAAAGGCATTATTCCTCATAAAACGAGGCTTTCCGCCGTTGAAAAAACTGATGTACTTTCGAAAAAACGCAGCAGCAGTCTAGACGTAGGGGAAGTTTTTTCGAAAAAACCCTGTAGTCTAGACACACCCTAGAGGCAGCACCACCTTTTTCTGAATGAGGAAGCTATCTGAATGCAAACTCCAGGCCTGGTGATGAAGGACAGAAGAGGCTCTGGAGCCCCCCTTCAGCCTTTGGCAGACTAATACACAGAAAACCAGCAACATTCTTGAATTTTGAAATGTTGTGAGCCATGCTCGGAGTGAGGTTATCTGACCTATGCTTGTAGAGAGCACATTAGATATTTGTCCTTCTTTTATTCTCTATTACAACATTTTCAACATGAACAATATCAAATTATTGCTATTTAACACTTACTCATTAAAGACCAAGTCGGGAGCAAAGTAAAGCATTCTGGAGTTAACATTGGTGAAAGATCTCCATCCCATGGCAAAAATCATTAGACCCATCCAGGAATACTGAATTAGTGCCATTTGGTCATCCACGTGCAGGTTACGGAATCCTACAAAAGGCCATAAACAGATTACAAGGTCAGTCTGGATTCAAACAATTCACCAAAACTTCTTTTTTTAATATAGTACTTTAATTCCCAATCTGTGCTCCTGGACTTCAGAAAGTTAAGAAACAGCAGTCCTCTCCATAAGTCCCAGGTTACCAATGTATTCAGCCACGAACCAGCACATATGGGATGTCTGCATACACAAAATAACTCATTCTCTTCTTCCAGGATTGTTGTAAGCATGACACAAGAAGTAGTTCTGCTCTATTCTGCACTGATTAGGCCTCAACTGGAGTACTGTGTCCTGTTCTGGGTGCCACATTTCAGGAAAGATGTGAACAAACTGGAGAAAGTCCAGAGAAGTACAACAAAACTGATTAAAGATCTCAAAAACATGACCTATGAGGGAAGACTGAAAATATAAACGGAGTTTGTTTTGTATAGAAAAGCGAAGCGTAAGAGGGGACAGGAGAACCATTTTCAAGTACATAAAAGGTTGTTAAAGGGAGGAGGGAGAAGAATTGTTCGTCTTAACCTCTAAGTATAGTACAAGAAGCAATTGGTTTAAATTGCAGAAAGGGAGGTTTAGGTTGGGCATTACACTAGGGAGCTATTTCAACCTAACCCCCCTTATTTCAAAACAAGTGGAGTGTCCATATCACTAAGATCATTAATTTGAAATAATGGGCTGGTTATTTAGAAATCTGTACTCCTGCTTTCCTTAGGGAATAACGCTTATTTTAATATTGTTCATTTGAAATAATGGTAGTGTGGATGCTCCACTGCTGCTATTTCGAAATAACTACTCCCCAGACTAATCTGAAGTAATTAGTCCCCAGTGCTTTCCTGGGGCTATAAGTTGAGGTAGCTCATCCACAATAACGGAGCCTGCCTCAGATGAATTTCAAGGCTTCCCCATAGTTTGGACACACTATTTTTATTTTGTTATATCGGGAGTTATTAAATCTATATTAGTTATTTTGAAATAGTTTCCTAGTGTAGACATGGCCAGGGTGGTTAAGCACTGGAATAAATTGCCTAGGGAGGCTGTGGAATCTCCATCACTGGAGGTTTTTAAGAAGAGGTTTGGCAAACATCTGTCAGGAATGGTCTACTCTAGACAATACGTAGTCCTGCTGGGAATGCTGGAGACTAGACTAAAAAACTTCCCCTGCGTCCAGACTCAAGCCGCGTTCTTTCGAAATTATTTCGAAAGAACGCGGCTTTTCTTTCGATGGCGGTAAACCTCAATTTACGAGGAAGAACGCCATCTTTCGAAAGAAGGCGTTCTTCAATGTAAAGAGGCCGTCTTCGAAAGAGAGCATCCAGACTCGCTGGGTGCTCTCTTTCGAAAAAGCGGATTTCTCTTTCGAAAGAAGCCTGCAGTCTAGACATAGCCCTAGAGTCAGTAATTCAAAGCTATTTCTAATGTCTCTGGATATTTACCAGTACATGTAGATATAGATAACCAGACAACCTGAAGGCCTGATCTTAGCTTTCTGAATATTCTTACATGACTTAACCACACGTTAAAAAATGGCAATCTTAAGTCTACAATTATGAACCATCAATTCAAACTTCTTTCTCTTGTCTGAGAGGGAGTTAATTCAACTGAGCATAACTATGTGTTATCTTTATGTTGTAATTGCTTTAGGATTAAATGTGTTCTCTCCATTTTCATTTCACTGCACAGAAGCACTCTGTGTCTAAGTAGTGCTATGCTGAATGAGTATGTGGGACTGTCAGGACTTTCTTCCACTAATGGACTTCAAATTATTTGTAGGCACTAGGGTGAGAGTTGCTAGGAAAATACAGCTAAATGTTATACATTTAAATAATCTCCAGGTTTTATAAACTCAGGTATGTGCACTTTGAGAAGAGTTTAACTTAGAACCAAGAGAACCAAGTTCTCTTTTCGGTAAGTATATTGCTACATAACAGTGTTATTTCAGAATAATTTACGTTATTCTGAAATAACAGTCCGTGTCCACACTACAAGCAGTTATTTCAACATAATGTCAAAATAATGTTGAGCTGAAAGACTTCTTACTCAAACTCCTGTAACCCTTATTTTACGAAGAGTAAGGGAAGTCGGAAGAAGAGTGTTTTTTCTTGGATTTCCTGTTGTGCAGGCAGTGCCAAAAGCTGAAATAAGCTATTTTGATGTAAGCGACGCAATTGACGTAGCTCAAGTTGTGTAGCTGATTTCGGCTTTAGCCCCGCTGTATAGACATGCCATATGATAATTCATGTATAAAAAGCCTATCCTACTTATCCAATGAATTTTGGCATGCAGATGAATTTTCCAATCTAATTAGTTCTGCCTTTCTCTGCCAATAGCTTGAGAGCTAGCAGAATAAGGGGTCTTCTGGAAAAGGGCTTATTTTCCGCAAGATCCTGTCTAGACTGGTGCTTTTCTCCGGCAAAACCCCGAGCCAGAAAAAAGCGGCAGCCATGTTTATACAAATGAAGCGGGGGATATTTAAATCCCTTGCTTCATTTGCAATTCCGACCTGTCTCATCTGCATCCCTTTTCCAGAAAAGGGGTGCAGTGTAGACACAGCCTACATGTATTGTGTGTGTGGGGGAAGAGGGGGAAGCATGCTGTCACAAGCCCATCTGCTGGTTGGCAGTTTAATGACTGCAGTGGAAAGTAGTGGTCTTGATAGGGTATGGTTATGGAGCTCTCAGGTTTCCCATAGAAGGCTTTGTATGATAAAAAATAAGTTTTTGACTTTGTATTCAGTGGTAAATCAGTGTAGAGAGAAGGGCACAGGATGACTTGTTCATGACAGCCTGTGCTTCTAGACAGATGGTCTACGTAGAGTGATAGCCTTTGTTGGATGAAAATAAGGGAAGGGCACATAAAAAAGGCTATTATGGAAATATCTTTTCCCTTAAGACAGAATTTATTTTTCTCCCGTAGGTGCATTTCTCCTGTCCTCCCATATATAGTGCAATTATCATAAGCTTCAATTTAATGTTTTAAATGGCACTTATTATCAGTTTTAATACTTTTCAAAACATCTTAAAATAAGAGATGAGCGGTCATTCTAAAGGACAAATGAATGAAACAAGGGATGCTCCCTTAAAATAAGGGAAGTGTAATCATCCTAGTTCTATACCAGATAAAGATTTCATGGGCTACTGGGCTTCATTCCTAGATCCCAGAGAAGAGCAACACAAAGATTAAAGGTCTATGAGGGAAGACTGAAAGAACTGGGTTTGTTTAGTCTGGAAGAGGGAAGGTTGAGGGGGGACATGATAACAGTTTTAAACTACCCAAAATGTTACAAAGAGGAGGGAGAAAAATTATTCTCCTTAATCTCTGATAATAGGAGAAGAAGCATTGGCCTTAAATTGTAGCAAGGGAGGCTTAGACTGGATATTAGGAAAAACTCAGGAAAAACTTAATTGTCAGGGTGGATAACCACTGGGTTTAAATTGTCTAGGGAGATTGTGAGATCTCCTTTAAAAGCCATTATGGAGCAAAAAGAACATGATCCTCTATTTGAAAAGCTGAGGTAGTCCATTGAGAACATCAGATGGGTGTTCATGCATCACCTTCTTACACACCAGTGAGAAAACAGGGTTCTTTTGTGGATTTATATTTGTAACTGCATACTGTTACTCTTTTCTTTTTTTTAAACAAAAAAAAAAGCACTAAGTGCTGGTACTCCAGAGGAAAAATTGTTGAGCAGAAAGGTGCCAGTACTCCAGAGGAAAAATTGTTGAGCAGTACAATCACCTGGCAGTACAATCACAAAAAAAGCACTGCTGTTACTTGTGGGTTTTGTAACCAGAACCAAGAGTAATAAATTCTGCTTTAATTTTGGAATTTCAAGGGTTTAAACAACTGATAAATATCTCCTGGGAACATTCTTTTCCAGGGACTCCTGTTTAGCCATACATATCTATGCAATCTTTGAAAGTATCTGTATGACTCCTGAGTTTGAGGTGATATAGCTTTGGTCAGCTGTACACAACTCTGTTTCTTTTCAGGTTGACATTTCATTGTCAGTAACCTTTTTTCTTGAAGAGATGTCCACTTGGAAATTTTCTAGCCTACACCTAGGCTGTGTCTACACTGGGCCACTTATTCCGGAAAAGCAGCCGCTTTTCCGGAATAACTTGAAAGCTGTCTACACTGGCCGGGTTCTAATGATGATCTAATGTAAAATTGTCATTGTTTTTCCGGAAAAACTGTGCTGCTCCCATTCGGGCAAAAGCCCTTTTCCAGAAAAACTGTTCCGGAAAAGGGCCAGTGTAGACAGCCCAGTAGTCTTTTCCGCAAAAAAGCCCCGATCGCGAAAATGACGATCGGGGCTTTTTTGCGGAAAAGAGTGTCTACATTGGCACGGACACTTTTCTGGAAAAAGTGCTTTTCCGGACAAGCATCCTGCCAATGTAGACGCGCTTTTCCCGGAAATACTTATAATGGAAAACTGTTCCGTTTTAAGCATTTCCGGAAAAGGGTGCCAATGTAGATACAGCCCTAAAGTCTCTGTATGTTTTGGGGTGATTTTATAAACAAACTCAGTCTATCTATTCTCAGCAATATATAGATTCAATTCAAAGACCAATGAATTCAATGGAAAGTCTCTGACTTAAGCCCTCAAATCACTTAAGTCATCTCTTTCCTTCACTTGGTACAAGGTCAGGAGGAAGAAACAATAGCCTAAAACTTCATATCGTCCACCAGGACCTGTTTATTCTCCTTAATTTAGTTCTGAGGTTGGAATCACTCATGCATGCTTTGGAACTGTGTTGTTTGTGTGTGAATCAAACAGTTAATGAGACACTGGTTTTCAGTTCTCATCACACACTTCGCTTGGATTTCCCATGAAGACTTAATACTGTTTTTTTTTTCATTTACTAGTTTAATTTTCACCTGATATTCTTTACTACACTACTACTATATTCTTTACTATAATCTCTGCCACCTTTGTTCATTATCTGTTAACTATGTTCTCTAAAACTATATGGCTTTTGCTGAGCAATCA